CTACAAAACACCCATCCAAATAGCCCAATAAAAGCATGAAACCATAAACAAATTGAAATCTTATTTTGCCCGATAGAAAGAAATTCAATTTAGCTTCATTCAAATTTCAGACCTACAAATCCCCACTTCCAAATATCTGTATCCAAGCTTCTACAGCATTAACTACAAATCAAATCAAATGATAAACTTACTTTACGCAACGCTACCTAATTCAATGAACATACAACTGAATTTTATACAAGCTACCAAGTCCCCCACTCTAAAAACAGTTCTTGCAGTACCACATTGTAACTTGCAAACAATCAGATAAGAGAAACATGACCCATCAGATGACTGATGGTTAGGAAATTTTTTAAGTCTTCGTTTCTCATCAATTTTCTCGGCAACCAAACAGATATGTAAAATGAGAAAGAGAGGGTGATTGTCAAACCTTGCTCCGACGGCCCAGATCTTTGGATCCCCTGGAGTCTCCCCTCTCAGCTTCAAGCCCGGACTCCTAATCACCCAACAAATCACCAGAATTATAATCATATAAACATACACACACGCAAAGAGAGAGAGAGAAAGAGCTACCTGAGCAGAAACGGCGAGGAGAAGGAGCAATAGGAGGGGGAGGGAGTACGCAATCGTTCTGGGAATCGAGCGACACCCCATGACTGCAGAAATCGGAAGGTCTGAAGCTGCGGTGGGTAGAGGATTTTATCGGGAACGTGGATCGGAATCCTTGCTTGGTGCTTTGCTGAGATCCTACGTATGCCTGTAGAAATTGGAGAGATCTGACGAGAGACACAGAGAGAGATCTTTGCTGAAAGCAGCGAAGATCCCTAGTAGCAGCCAGAAGGTGGAGTATTAACGGTTCACATATTAAAAATTGGTGGAGGGGACTGTCTTCTCAAACTCTCAGAGAGAGAGGGGGAAAGGTTTGACCCCAGAAGAGTAAAGTAAAAAAAGAAATGTGATTCAGTATTAGTTCTTTACTTAGAAAATGAGAGATTTTAGGTTCGAATATGCCAAATTAAGTTGCTCATTATGTAGCTTTCCCGAACTCTCTTAATATAAAAATATCAATGTTGTCAAAAAGTTAAAAAAGGACAACGTGACGTTCTTAATTGTTAATTCTTGTCCTTCTTCCCTAGAATTCTTGAAATGAATCGTGAAGTTTCAATTTTTTTCTAATTATAAAGTTTTTAAATTGTATTAATTTATGTTTTCTTCATGTTTGTATGTTTGGTCTTTTGTTAAATTGATGTGGTGATAGATATGAGCTTTATTTTTCTATGATGACCTGAAAAACACACTTATTTTTAGAGTTTTGTCTTCCCTCAATAGAAACTTTGCAATATAATGAGAATCAATCTCATAATTTGATCTCAGTGATGCAAGTATGACTTATACATCATCCCAATGGCGGACTCCACATCTACCACATTATCAAAATAACAATTGATTACACGTTCAAAGAGGCATAATGATTAAAGAGTCAAGGGGGCAGGGTGTTATCTATATTGCTTGTCACAGCTCACAAGGTCAAACATATTGAATGCATAAATTGATATGATTTCAGTTCACAAAAAATTGATATAATTTCAAATATCACGATGCAATGTAAAAAATAAAAAAATAAAACTACATGACTCAATTACCTCAAATTACCGTATATAATGTAGTTAGCTAACTTTTCATTTCAGATGAATAGATATAAAAAATATAAAATTTTGAATGAGTAATTCTTGGTGTCACGTACTATAGTAAAGTTCATCTCAATTAGAATGTGTCTCAACAATATAAATTATTTTGTGTGCTAAATACCACTATTGATTTGGTAAAGATATTTACAAATTTTACATACAGTTAAGTGCATGCAATGCTAATTGCTAAGCCCACAATATGTGGTCAAAAGTGTGAGAAGTGGGCCTAATAGGAGCACTTTTATAAATTTACCTTTTGATATCTTTTGACATGATGGAAATTTACCTTTCCATTTTGCAATAAGTCACAATTTGAATTTCTCCTCTCCATTAACGAAAACGTAAAGAAATATTTTACGCAATTCTTCAACTACTTTGGTCCAATTGGGATGCCTTTGATTCAAGTTCAATCTCAAGCCTCAATATTCGTGGCTTAGACTTAGGAGAAAAAAGACCCATAGTTTAATGGGACAATCTCATAAATTTCAAAAGTAGGTCCCCTTCAAGAGTCCAATTCCTAATTAGGAGTTCAAGTATATTGTGTGCGCCTCATTCATGTTTTCATTCTCATATAGACAATTAACGGAGAAGTAATTCATAATCGAAATCCACATGTCATTGTGTAAAACGACTTTGTTAAAATTACATATAAAGTACGTACTTGTTCATGTTTATTGTATATTCAGTTTGAATGATCAAATGGAGCTTCAAAGAGAAAGCTCGTGAACAACATTCATTGTGATTTTATACATATCAAATCAGAGACAATTAACTTTATACGTTATTATGAACCGAATCTTAAAATAATAATACAAAAATGAAATATGTAAAGCACCATATGAATATGAAGATCTTATTATGGTGAAGTACGTTAGCACATTATATTATTACTCCCATGTACACCTCTAATCATCTCCCTTTTATTGTCCCTCTTAAAAAATTCAAAGTAGAAAAGAAAAAAAAAAGGATGCGAATGCAATTAAAAATAAAGGAAAGGCCAGCGAGGGCCCAAGACTGGTCCCAACCCAACCCAACCCAAGCCGGCTGAGCCGCTCCGCCAATCAGGTTTGAGGATAATGCGTGCGAGCTTCCGCCACTTTTGAATCATGAAAGCGAAGTGAAGCCCCTCCACCGGTTCAAACGGCCTCTTCTCTCAAACATTGAGGAGGGAGGACGAGCACCTCTGTCACTTTTGACATGTTGCTTTTTACAGGACAAGCAGCTAGATGTGGTGGTTGTAATAACTAAAATAAATATGGTTACATATTATAGATGCACAAAAAGTATATTATATTCCTTATTGCAAGTTTCCGTTCATAATTTTGTTACACATGATACATGTGGAATCTTTTTATGTCAGGGTAATTTAAAAATAAAATTAAATAAATAAAAAGAACTGCTCGACGGAGCTAGACGAGGATGTGAAAATAGCTTTCCCGGTCCTGACATTTACCTAAACCTTTTTTCAAGCTTGATAATGTCACCTTAATTATTGTGATTCTTCCCTCTTTTAACGCTCACTTATTTTGTTTTCGTTTTGTTTTGCTTTCCTTTGTAGTAGATGAAAATTAATGTGGATAGAACTTTTCATGCTTCTACTAAAACAGGGTGCTGGTGTGGTATTTTGCCGCGAAACCAGTTTTGTTTGCAAAATATCCCATGTGACAGGTCTTGACGTGATGGAGTTTCTAATTGCCAGGAGAGTGTACAGCTGATCTTCGAGCAACACTGGCACTAGATTGAACTTGAGAGTGACGTCTTCCAGGTTGTCCATATCATTGGCATCCTGCATGGTGACTCTTCCTCATTAGATTTAGTTGCTGAAAACATCAAAACGGGGCACTGAGGCTTTTGTTGCATCTCGAGTATGTTATGTGCGTAGGTTCGCTAATATGGACATAAGTTGGCCAAGTTATGGGCATAGTAGGGAATTGGAAAAATAATGTAAACAGTCAAGCTAAAAAATAGGTTGACTTATCATATTAAAAAGGAAAAACGGTGAGTTGAAAAAAAAACCTAAATTGAATTCATGAATTATTCTCTCATAATTGGTGAAATCTAATTCTCTCTTTTTAGCACTTTTAGAACCAACAAAATCCTCTCCAGATCCTTCTGGTGAGGATCTTGGAAATTCGTGAATCGTGTCCGTTCATCGTACATCGTACATCGTGAACCAACAAAATATTTAAAATGATTTTTGATCACATGATGTACGATGAACAGACACAATTCACGAATCTCTTAGATTCTCACAAAAAGGATTCAACAAGAATCCGAATTCTTCTTTAGACAGAGTAAAATTGTGTTAGCTTTGTTGATGGCTATATTTTAAAGAGGAGGGAGGGACCCTGCACCCATCGTTTCATAATTCTTTATTCTGCCAATTGTAAAACTCATTCGTCAACCATGTATGCATATTCACTATTTTTAGTCTTTAAACTTTTTCAATATTGCAACTACTTTCCTTCTTATTAAAACAATATAATTTCAACCATTTTCTGATTAATATATCTCTACAATTCATGCCATATATGCGATGACGCCTTATATTATAATTATATTTCCAACTGAAGTAATTAGCAAGATATCGATTATTATTATTAAAAGAAATTAAAATTCAAGAAAAAATTAAAATTGGGAGAAGGGAGCAGATAGTGGAAAATATAAAGAAATAAACTGGAAATAGTAAAAGCCGTCACAGGAAGCGGTCCGAGTTTCTGCTATCCGGTTTGGGGAATCGCACATTCGCAGCTCGGATAGCTGGACCTACTCGCTGCGCAAGTCGACCACGTGTCGAATAAAATATTAGATGAGGCATTAGGCATAAAAGCAAAAACAGAGGAGAGATTTTCTTAGGATAACCGGCACAAGAGGTGGTACATCAAGTGTTATTATACAAATGGTGTGATTTGTGTGTCAAAAACACGACATAAAAACACGTGGTCTATCGCTTGTGTTCCGTCACATTTAAAAATTTCTCAAAGCAGGGGGACAAGTGGGGAAGGAGGAGCACGCGTGGAGCAAAGGGAGCGAGTATAGGAGTTGAGGCAGTCGCGGGTGGCGGGAAAGGATGTGGGGTTTGGTCCGTTTATTGCCAAAGCGCGGGTGAAAAAGCTTGTCTGGTTGAGAGATGGTTGGTTTTTATTCCTCTTCTCGTTTGTGGAGAGGAGAGCACACCGCTCTCTCTCTCTGTCCATCTCATCATCTCTCTCTTAAAACTACTTTCTCTCTCTCCATGTAAAAGTTTCTCTCTCTAGAAAGCTGTTATTCTTGTTAATTTGGCTCTCTGTTCTTTTTGTTTGGTCTGGGTGTGGCCTGGTTTAGATAGAGAGAGAGAGAGAGAGAGAGAGGGAGGGAGGGAGAGAGGAGAGAGAGAGATAGTGTGTGTCTGATCGTTGAGAGGGGGATTTTAGCAGAGTGACGGGTAGGTGGGTTGTGGGGTGCGAGGGAGGGGGTGAGTGAATGAATGGTAATTCCGGTGGGGTTTGCTAGAGTGACGGCCCGGTGGTGTTGGTGGTGCTGCTGACGACTTAACTCACTGTCTCTCTCTCGCCGGCGACTGGAGCCATGGACTTCGATGCCGGAATTCCCATGTCTCGTGCTGCCGTGCCCGTCACCGACGCTCCCTCACTGTCACCCTCCTTGACCCAAGGTCATCTTTCCCTCTCCCTTACATAACATAACACATACATTTGTCTTTGTTTGTCAGTAACTGTCGTTTTCTCTGTTTCTGTTTCTCTTTTGTTTCGCCATTGTTTCCTTGTTTTCCCAATCACGTTTGCTGCCTCCGCCCGATGCGAATTGCCCCCTTTGACCTTTCAGTTCCTCAATCCATATGTGATCAATGCTTTCAATCTTATTCAGCTTCGTCAATTTCGATTCCCAGGACTTAAATTCGCATTTTTTTTATTTTTCATGTGATTCTTTCCGTTTCTTGAATTATTACAGTATGTTGCCTCTTGTTTGTTTTCAATTTTTTTCGTGTTCTGAATGCGATTTGGTTGCTATTTAGAGAACTTGGAGTTGTCGATAATGAAAGTTTTCGCTATCCCGTGACAACTCAAATACGGTATTTGTTATAGCATGAAGATCGAAAGGAGGGATTGGCGAGAACCGTGATTTCAAAACCAATTTAAACAGAGAATGCTATGTCAATGTTGTGTGATTTGGCTTCTAAGAACAATAAGACGAAGAATTTAATCTAATTGCAGCTTTAAGGCACAATTTCTTTACTTAATTGTCTTCTTATGGTGTACAAGTAGGAACAGAATGCAGACGAAATGGACACGTGGGAAATATGCCTTTCACTTGAGTTTTGATATGTTTGTATGATACAATGTAATGAACTTACTTATGAAATGTTATTTCAGATGCAATGTGGCAAATGAATTTGAGATCAAGTGAAACAATGGAAGCCGGGGGCTATCCCGAGCGAACTGGGGAGCCAGATTGCTCTTATTACATCAGAACAGGACTTTGTAGATTTGGAGCAACTTGTCGCTTTAATCATCCACCTAACCGGAAGCTGGTATAGTTTCACCATGTTTACTCCATTTTTTTTTCAGTTTAGTAATATATTTCTTGCTTTGATACTTTTTAGCACAAGGGTAGTATGTTTTGTGTCTAATGTTTAATTATTTCATTAAATTTTGATTGAAATTATATGTCTATATACCAAGATTCTGTTTATTGCCAGGCTATTGCCGCTGCAAGGATGAAGGGAGAGTTCCCCGAAAGAATTGGACAACCAGAATGTCAGGCATGTATTTCTGTGGAAGGTTGGTTGTGTAAATTTTGGTCTGACTTACTAATGATATTTGTTAAACTTCCCTGCAGTACTACCTGAAGACAGGAACCTGCAAGTTTGGAGCAACATGCAAGTTTCATCATCCTAGAGACAAGGCGGGAATCACTGGAAAAGTTGCCTTAAATATCTTAGGCTATCCACTTCGACCGGTTCGATTTCCTGTTTTCATCTCATTATTGTGCCATTCACCTCTTTTGCACATTTCGATTCTGTTTGCTTTACTTGAATGTTTACTTTGTAGTTTATTTTTGTGGCATAGGGACAGACAAGGGACCAAAAACAAACGCCATTTGTGTTGGTGTGGTAAATTTTAGAAGTAGTGCGACGCAAAATAATGATTTAAGAACCGCACATATGCTAGAGGAAAATGTGTTGGAGACAAGCGTTCCACTTTTGTATTGTATAATTGAATATGTGTTGGAGACAATGTTGTTTGTATACTATCTGTATATTTGAAATAATTGTAAAATTGAACAATGCATGCTGCCCAGTTTTCGTTCAGGCATATTGTAGATCTGTAAATGTCTATACATATCTGCTTTGGAGATTGTTTTGTAGACCTTTCTGTGCATCTTAGTTGGCAAGATAAATTTCCTAACTTTTCTTTCTTTACTTTTAGCAGAATGAGATTGAATGTGCCTATTATTTACGAACTGGACAATGCAAGTTCGGAGGCACTTGTAAATTCCACCATCCCCAACCTACTAATATGATGGTTTCAGTGCGTGGCTCTCCTGTATATCCTACTGTCCAATCTCCAACTACTCCTGGCCAGCAGTCGTATGCAGGAGGAGTTACAAATTGGTCGAGAGCATCTTTTATTCCCAGTCCACGCTGGCAAGCTCCATCAAATTACGCTCCTCTCATTGTTCCTCAGGGAGTGGTATCAGTCCCTGGATGGAACACATACAGTGTAAGCTTAACTGTACCTCTCTGTGCGAAATGCTGTGATGCAGTTGTTTTACCTTATAATGTGCAACTAATTATTGTTTGTCTCGAAATCAATTTAATCGGAGTTGTATGCATGTGTGTTTAAAACTGTTGATCTTGTTGCGTCATCTAATTTGTGATTAAAGTTGCAGAATAATAGTTTGAAAATTTTTCTTATGAGAAGAAAACAAGACGAAAATCGAATGGCTTGCAATTTCTTTTATTGCACTCCATCAGAAAAGCTCTAATGCAGCAGCTTTTGAGTTTAAGTTCACTAGTATGCTTGCGCTATGGTTCCCCGAGAAGACTCAATACCCTTATTTGCTGGCAATTTTTGCAGGGCCAGCTTAAAGATGAAGATGCTATATCATAACTACAGTTGTTAGTTATTAGTTTGGTATAAGGTGTCATTCATGTAATTAGTTTATCTTATGTGGTAGCTTAGAATAGCTAAATGTAAATAGTCTAAAGACTATATATATGTGATTGGATTATTATTTTGGAATCAATGAGAATACACAGAAATCTTAATACTTAAGAAATCTTTCTTTCTCGCTCTTCTCTCTTCTTTCTTCTCTCTCTCTTTCTTTTGCAAGAACACAGAGCTTCTACATGGTATCCTTCGCCGCTTGCCTCACGGCCATTTCGATCCATTCTTCCGCTTTGTTTCTCTGATCTTTGCTGTTCATTTCTTGCAATTTGTTGTTTCTAATTACCATGGCGTCTCCGTCAGATTCTGCATCTCCTGGATCTCTTCAGAATTCTGCCCCAAATCCTTCGACAAACCCTAATTTGTCAAATTCGTATGCTTCTCTCACAATTCAGAATATTGGCAGCATGGTGCCGATCAAGCTCAAGAGATCTAACTATCTTCCATGGCGTGCTTTGTTTGCACCGATTCTCCGACGCTACAAACTTCTAGGTCTTGTTGACGGCACTGAGCCATGTCCACCGCCATTTCTTCAAGATCAAACAATTAATCCAGCCTTTGAGATCTGGTATGAAAAGGATCAGAACCTGTTGATTTGGTTGAATTCTACACTATCGGAAGATGTTATTCCGTTTACTGTTGGTGTATCTTCTGCTCGTGATCTTTGGATCAAGCTGGAACAACGTTTTGGTGGTGTCTCTGATGCTCACATCCATCAACTCCGCTCTCGTCTTCAAGCAATTCAAAAAGGTGCTCAATCCATGGCGGATTATCTTCAACAACTCAAAGAAATCTCTGATTCTCTCTCTGCTGCTGGTGCACCTATTTCTGATCGAGATCTCATTGCAGCCACTCTTGCTGGATTACCTGATGAATTCGAATCATTTATTGATTCTGTAATGTTACGCCTCTCTTCCACGTCTTTGGATGAGTTACACGGCCTTCTTCTTACCAAGGAGCTTTCCATGTCTCGTCGCAAGAAGCTCTCTTCTTCCTCTACTGAGTCCTTTCAAGTGTTCTCTGCTCAGTCTCAACCGCCTCTTCTTCCAACTCCACCGACTCAAGCGTATGCTGCTCAATCTCAACAATCTCTTCGATTCAACTCGAATCGTGGTCGCAATAACTATCGTGGTAATCACTATCCCAATTCTGGTCGTTACAACAACAATCGTGGATATAGAGGCAATTATAGAGGTTCATCTTCCAATCGTGGTCATTCACAAGGTGTTCGTAGTTCTTCTTTCAACAGCTCTCATGCTTCTTGCCAAATCTGTGGCTCTCATAGTCATGCCGCTATCGATTGCTTCGATCGCATGAATCCTGACATTTCTGGGAAGATTCCTCCTGCAAAACTTGCAGCCATGTGTGCCCACTACACCTCCAAATCTTCTCCCTCTTGGCTACTGGACTCTGGCGCCACATCTCATATCACTAATGATATTGCCAACATATCTTCACCAACACCGTACACTGGCGAGGACAAAGTTTATGTTGGTGATGGTAACGGTCTCTCTATCCATCATATTGGCTCTTCTTCTTTGCATTCTCCTAATGCTAAATTTCATTTGAGTAATGTACTTCATGTTCCTCAAATGAAACACAATCTGTTATCTGCATACAAATTTCTCAAAGATAACTATTGTGCCTTAACACTTGATTCTGATGGATCTGTTCTTAAGGATCGTACTACGGGGAGGACGCTTTTGCAGGGCCCCGTTAAAGATGGCTTTTATCCTCTGCGAAACTGTCCTTCCATTCCTCCTTCTTCTGGATGCACTTATGCTTTTGTCAGTGCTCAAGGTTCAGTCAAACTGTGGCACAGTCGCCTGGGACATCCTTCCTCCTCTATCTTTCGAAAAGTCATCTCCAGTAATAAGCTTGCTATTAAAGGTACATCCTCTGTTGACTTCTTTTGCTCCAAGTGTGCTATTGCGAAAAATCATAAACTGCCATTTAGCTCTTCAACTACATCCACCTCTCAGTCTCTTCAACTATTACATTGTGATCTGTGGGGACCTGCTTCTGTAACTTCAGTGGATGGTTTTCGGTATTACTTTCTTGTTGTTGATGACTTTAGCAAGTACAGTTGGTGTTTTCCTTTAAAGAATAAATCAGAGGTGTACTCTACTTTTGTTCTCTTCAAAGCTTATGTTGAGAATATTGTTGGTAATAAAATCAAGATACTTCGTTCAGATTCTGGGGGTGAATTTACCAGTTTGCAATTTAAAGCTTTTCTTCATACTCACGGTATTGTTCAACAACTTAGCTGTCCACACACACCAGAACAAAATGGTTGTGTGGAGAGGAAACATAGACATCTTGTGGAGACTGCTCGGACCTTATTAGTTGAATCTAGTGTTCCTCATCTTTATTGGGTTGAAGCCTTTACCACTGCTGTTTATCTTATCAATAGGCTGCCTATATCAGGCAAAACTAAATCACCATGGGAATTGCTGTTTAACACATATCCAGATTACTCCAAACTTAAGGTCTTTGGGTGTAGTTGTTATCCATGGTTAAAGCCCTACATTTCCTCTAAACTTGATGGGAAAAGTAAACGATGTATCTTCTTGGGTTACAGTTTGCAACACAAAGGTTATCGGTGTTTGGATTTGGACCATAATCGGATTTATGTCTCTAGGCATGTTACATTTGATGAGGCCACATTTCCATTTAAAAATGTCATTTCTGTTCAATCCTCTGTTGATCAGTCTCCTTCTGTACCTTCATCAATTGATCTTCACTTTTCCATGCCCACATCTATACCCCCTGCACCTGTGTCTTTTTCACCCTCACTACCATCTGCTTCCCCATCTAATATTCCTTCTACACCTGTCTCTCCCTCTCCACCTGTGTCTACAAATCACCCTGTACATCAATCTGTCCCTCAACCTGCACTTCAACCTGTCCCCCAACCTATCCCTCAATCTTCTTTTACTTCTAATCTGCATCCCATGGTCACTAGATCCAAAAATGGTATACATACACCTCGAGTGTTCACAGCTACCAAACATCCTCTTCCTTCCACCACAGATTACATTCCTCATACTTACCTTCAAGCCTCTAAGTTTGCCAATTGGAGACTGGCCATGCAACATGAATTCAATGCTCTTTTATCCACTGGCACTTGGACACTTGTTCCTTCTTCACCCTCTCAAAATGTAGTTGGATGCAAGTGGGTCTTTCGCATCAAAAAGAATCCTGATGGATCCATTGAGCGATACAAAGCACGCCTTGTTGCTAAGGGCTTTCACCAAAAGGTAGGTCTTGACTATACAGAAACCTTCAGTCCAGTTGCAAAGCCAGTTACTATCAGACTGTTGTTATCCTTTGCTGTCCAATTTAATTGGTCTCTCAAACAACTGGACATAAGCAATGCTTTTCTGCACGGTGACTTAAAAGAAGATGTGTTCATGGTTCAACCCCCTGGGTTTCAAGATCCCAGCAAGCCTACTCATGTGTGCAAGCTCAGAAAATCTCTCTACGGCCTTAAACAGGCTCCTAGAGCTTGGTTTGACAAATTATTTCAAGCCCTTCAATCTATGGGATTTAGTCAGTCATCCTCTGATGCATCTTTATTTGTTCTTCATGCTCCAACTCTGGTTATAGTGCTTGTCTATGTTGATGATATTCTGGTCAGTGGTCCTGATGCTCACATCTGCAATCAGTTCATCGCTCAATTGAGTACTTTGTTTCCTGTTAAAGATCTAGGTCCCTTGCATTACTTTCTGGGTCTAGAAGTTCATCACACAAAAGCTGGTATGCTTCTTCACCAAAACAAGTATCTGCTTGATCTGCTGCAGAAAACCCATATGACTGGTGCAAAGCCTTGTTCCACTCCACTTAGCTCTACCAAATTAGATCATAGTGGGGACTTACTTGCTGATCCCACTGAATATAGATCCCTTGTTGGTGCTCTTCAATACTTAACTTGGACACGGCCTGACATTTCCTTTGCAGTCAACCAAATCTGTCAGTTTATGCATACCCCTACTGTTCTTCACATGCAAGCTGCCAAACGTATATTGAGGTTTCTCAAAGGGACTATCACTCATGGTCTTTTGTTTAAAAAAAGTGATTTGCATCTGTCAGCCTATTCTGATGCCGATTGGGCTGGCTGTTCTTATGACAGACGATCCACCAGTGGTTCATGTGTTTTTCTGGGCACCAACTTAATAAGCTGGAGTGCCAAGAAACAATCAACAGTAGCAAGATCATCTACTGAAGCAGAGTATCGTTCCTTGGCTCACACGGCTGCAGAAATTACCTGGATTTGCAAGGTGCTCAAAGACTTTGGCTTTCCTATCTCTCACAAACCTACTCTCTGGTGTGATAATATCTCTGCTTTATCTCTTGCTTCCAATCCTGTATTTCATGCTCGCACTAAGCACATCGAGATTGATTATCATTATATTCGTGAGTTAGTTCTTGCAAATCTGGTTGAAGTCAAGTATGTGTGCAGTCAGGATCAAATTGCAGATATTCACACCAAAGCCTTGTCTAGAAACCGGTTTCAGTATTTGCAATCCAAGCTTTCTCTTGGAATTCTTAATTCTTCCAAGTTTAGCTTGAGGGGGTGTAAAGATGAAGATGCTATATCATAACTACAGTTGTTAGTTATTAGTTTGGTATAAGGTGTCATTCATGTAATTAGTTTATCTTATGTGGTAGCTTAGAATAGCTAAATGTAAATAGTCTAAAGACTATATATATGTGATTGGATTATTATTTTGGAATCAATGAGAATACACAGAAATCTTAATACTTAAGAAATCTTTCTTTCTCGCTCTTCTCTCTTCTTTCTTCTCTCTCTCTTTCTTTTGCAAGAACACAGAGCTTCTACAAGCTTGGCTCCGTTTCATCTGCAGAGAGTCAGCAACAAACAGCGGGAAACAGTCAGGTGTATGGAACTTCACGCCAAGGTGAACCAGAAAATTCAGGATCTCAAGGGGGCTTTTCTCCATACCGTTCAGGTTCCATCCCTGTAGGGTTCTATGCATTGCAGAGGGAAAATGTATTTCCCGAGAGACCTGGCCAGCCTGAGTGCCAGTTCTATATGAAAACCGGGGATTGTAAGTTTGGTGCAGTCTGTAGGTTCCATCATCCTATGGAGAGGTTAATTCCTGCCCCAGACTGTGTTTTGAGTCCAATAGGCCTTCCTTTACGACAGGTGAGTTGCTTTTACTGTTGGAGTTCGGTTATAAGCTTGAGCTATTGTTTCGAAAATAGTTGTGTGCGCTTGTTTATCTTTCAATAAGTAGTCTTAACTTTGGTGATATTTTACACGATGAATCTGGTACACTTTTTAACAGGGAGAACCTTTGTGCATCTTCTATTCTCGTTACGGTATCTGTAAGTTCGGACCAAGTTGCAAGTTTGACCACCCTATGGGCATCTTCACTTATAATCTGTCTGCGTCATCTTCGACTGGTGCCCCAGCCCGACGTTTGTTGGGTTCGACGTCCAGGGCGGCTTCATTAAATTTATCATCATCAGGACTAGTTGAAGCAGGATCAGCAAATCCCAGGAGAGTTTCATTGTCAGAGCCTAGACAGATGCCTAGTGCAGAAGATAACAACATTGACAGAGAGGAGTGAAAAGCGGCTTGAAAACGAACCATTTACATTAACAATCTTTTGAGGGATATCTGCAAGTTGATATCTGGAAATTTACAGAGAATTGTCCTGAAGATGCATTTATCTGACAGATTCAACCTTGTGAATTTCACATTGCTGCATTGCACTGTATAAACATCTGCAAACATTGTCTTGTCCCAAATCCCGAAATGTCCGACACTGGGTTAACTTAACAACAGATATAGTGGAGGAAAACCGACTAAAAAGAGCGTTTTCCTTGCTTCGACCCCGCCTCGTTTCACGTCCGCAAAAGTCCGTCTCGTTTTTTTTTTTTTGAGTGGAGCCCGACCCGATTAGCTCGCTCGAAGTGTGCCTTGTTTTGTAATTTGCTTTTTTCGTGCGCTGAGATGGCCTTGTTTAGCGTGATAAAAGTCTGTCTCGTTTTTTGTGAGCAGAGCCTATTTTATTTTTTGTACGCCGAGTTTGCCTAGTTTAGCGTGTGTAGAGTGTCTTGTTTTGCTTGCAGCGTTCTTTCATGTGCCGAGCATGCCTCGTTTTGTGCGTTAGAAGCTTGTCTCATTTTCGATCAACAGAGCCCGCCTCGTTTTATGTGAGTTTCGGATTCGTCTTGTTTTGCGTTGCGGAGTTCGTCTCGTTTTGCGTGCGTTGACTCGAGCCTGCCTCCTTTTGCGTGTGTAGATCACATATTTTTGCACCCATCGAGCAGGACTTTAGGGAAATATTTTGCGTGGGAGTTAAGGAAAATGTTGCATAACCTTTGGATGTGATCCTAACGTTTATTAGGTCCCGAAACTATTTTTTATTGATTTTTAAAATTGAAAAATAGAAAAAATAATATAAACTAGTAGGAGGTCCCCAAAAAGATTTGTAGGTGGTGAAAATCTTGGGAATGTCCTAAATTAAATTCATTAAACGTGTGATGCGACTAGAATGACTCAAAATTTGGGTTGTATTAAATCTTGCTAAAGTTCTCAAAATCGATGGGAAAACATGAGTTATAACTCATAATTTTTGTGAAAAAAATTGAATTTTTTGGTTTTAGGAAATATTTTGCATGGGAATCAATGAAAATGTTACAAGACTTTTGGATGTGATTCTACCATTTATTAGATCTCAGAACTATTTTTTATTAATTTTTAAAGTTGAAAAAATAGAAAAATAATATAAACTAATAGCGAAGCCCCCAAAGAGACTTGTAGGTGTTGAAAATATTTGGAATGCCCTAAATTGAGTGACTCAAATTTTGGCTTTTAAGGAATCTTGTAAAAGTTCTCAAAATCGATTGGTAAACGTGGATTATAACTCATAGTTTTTGTGAAAATTTTGAAATTTTTAGTTTTAAGAAATACTTTGAGTAGGTATTAACGAAAATGTTGAAAGACTTTTGCATGTGATTTTATCCCTTATTAGCTCCCGAAACTATTTTTCATTGATTTTTATAGTTGAAAAAATAAAAAAAACTAATAGCAAAGCCCCCAAAGAGATTTGTAGGCATCGAAAATCTTTGGAATGTCCTAATTAATTTTAGAAAACATGTGGTGCGACTAGAGTAACTCAAATTTTGTCTTTTAATGAATCTTGTAAAAGTTCTCAAAATTGATTGGTAAACGTGGGTTATAACTTACAATTTTTGTGAAAAAATTGAAACTTTTAGTTTCAGGAAATATTTTGCATGGGTATTAACGAAAATTTTGCAAGACCTTTGCATGATTTTATCCTTTATTATCTCCCGAAACTATTTTTTCATTGATTTTTAAAGTTGAAAATAGAAAAAATAATGAAAGTTAATAGAATGACTCTAACTTGGGCTTATAACGAATGTGGTAAAAGTTCTTAAAATAGATTAGAAAAATGTGGGTGTTAACCCATTTTTTTGGGGAAAATGCAATTTTTTACTTTCGCAAAATATTTTCTGTGAGCATCAAGGAAAAGTTTATAAGTCATTTGAAAGTGGTTTTACAATTTATTGAGCAATAAATGTACATTTAGTATAATATTTAAGCCGAAAATTGAAAAAAAAGTGAAAATATAGTAGTGAGTTCCAAAACATTGCCAAAATGGGCACCCACGTTTTTTGTGAAAATGATTTTTTTTTTAAATTTTTTTTTTGTACAACATTTTTCGTGAACATCAAGGAAAAATCTATAAGGCATTTGAAAGTGTTTTTTTTATTTATTGATCAAAAAATGTATATTCAGTATAATATTTAAGCCGAAAATTGAAAAAAAAAGTAAGTGAAAATTATAGTAGTGAGGCCCAAAATAGTGCCAAAATGGGTTCAACCATCAAGAATATCAACGAAAAGTCTTACACTAATTTCAAAATTTCATAGTGAGACGAAGGTGAAAACAAACAGATTCAATGCACGATTTATGTACGAATTTGCAAAACCGACTACAAATAGTGAGTGTTAACACGTTTTTTTTTTATTTTTATTTTTTGTAAAAATTGCAAACTCTTTATTTGCACGAATTATTGTCTGTGAGCATCAAGAAAACTTTTTAAGGCATTTGGAAGTTGTTTTATTATTTATTGAGCAAAATGTATTCTTGATATAATATTTAAATTGAAAACTAAAAAAAAAATGAAATATAGTAGTAAGGCCTAAAACATTGCCAAAATGGGGTTCCTGTCCACTCTCAAGAACATCAATGGAAAGTCTTATATTAATTTTCAAAACTTCATTTCGATGCGAAGGAGAAAACAAATATATTCAACAATGATTTCTGTATGAATTTGCAAAACCGGTTACAAATAGTGAGTGTTACCCACATTTTTGGTGAAAAATGCGAACTTTTAGTTTTCACGAAATATTTTCCATGAGCATGTAGGAAAACTTTATAAGGTATTTGAAAGCGGTTTTTCGATTTATATAGCAACAACTGTATATTCAGTAAAATATTCAAGCCAAAAACTAAAAATAAAGTTGTGAGGCCCAAAATATTGCTAAATTGGATTCCACCATCGAGAATATCAACAAAAAGTCTTACATTAATTTTCAGAACTCCAAAGTGAGATGAAGGTAAAAACGAACATGTTTAACGATAATTTATGTATGAATTTACAAAACCAACTAAAAGTCACGAGTGATACTCATTGTTTTGTTATATCAAATGTCACACGGCTTCTTAGCAAAAAAAAAAAGTCACACAACATCTGTCCCATACCTACATTTTTTTCCCCCAAACATACAATTCTAATATGATTATTATTACTTCGCGGATAACTAGCATATAGCAGATGTGCTCAAATACAATTTCATTTTTTTTTGCACAAATCCAACCAATAATGTCGTGGTGGTGTCATCTACCAATACAAAAAGGCTACAACCTTCATCAATTGGGTCAGGCCAAGCCCAGTGAGATTTTAAATATTTAACCGATGGTTATTCATAACCGTAAAATACCTAAAATTTAATCTTTAATCGTTCGGATTGATTATTTTTGAAGATCGGATTTGTAGGGTTAAATTGTCATCCCATCACTGTTATACAATGAGGATAATGAGATACTCTTGGTCCAAAGAAGGCGAATGACTTGAACCGCAGTAAAATAATTACACTTTTCAAGGTATTTTAAATTTGTCATCTATTATCGTATAATTTGATAAAAGATTGTCGCAATAACATCATGTTGCATGTAAGTAGGGATGACAACAATTCAATCCAAGACAAATGTGTCATAATATCTCCATAATCATAAAAATGATCCATATCCCTAGCCATCACATTAACGACTGGGTTATTCTATAAGGGCCATAATCATTTCAGCTGAGTAACAAATTTCTTATCAGTTAACGTGTTATTCGATTTTATCAATTATTTTATTTTATTTTCTCATAACTAATGAAGAAAATATTTTAATCACATGAGATCAAACAATAAAGAAAAACTATAATTAAAATAAAATACTACATAATCAAGAATCTAACCATAAAACATCAACATCCAATGCCAAAAACTATGATTGGAGAATAAAATTTGACCAAAAAATAATTAAGTATATTAATGCATATAAATTAGAAAACATATTTTTATGTGACAAATTTAACAACAGTTATAACCATGGTACCCTTATCTTCATAATCATATCTAAAACCATTCTTAAAATTTCGATTTATGAAATACCCATGCGCATACTCATCCAAATCATCCCTAAACATATAGGTATCCATGAGAAACAAATTTAACGATTAAATGTAAGGAAAACTAATGATAATGAATTGAAAACTTTAAATTTTAACAATAAGTACAAAATAAAGGGTAAAATGAATAGTACCAGGATTGATTTTTTAATGTAAAAATATGGTTTTTCGTTAAAATGAACAATACTGAAAGTTTTCGTTGAAGTCCCCTTAAATATATCATCCTTAGGAGGTATGAAAACTTGCTCCACATGTAAACATTCACACCAATGGAAATGGTAGTGTGTGTGGCCACCGCCATAATAATTGTATTGGACAGAGACATGCACATTCAAGTTACACATTAAGATCGCAAAAAGTCCTCCCCCTTTCTCCCAATTTCTCCCAAACCCAACTCTCACAGTACACACCCTTTCTAGTCTTTTTCTTTACATTTGATTTTCCAAAATTCCTCGACCCCAACCCAATTTTGCTCTCCACCTAATCAACCAGCTCAAAGCAAATACCCACTAAAAACCCTTTTTACTATAACATTTATGATCCACCAAATACAAATCAGAGGCCTCCTATTAAAAAAAAAAAAAAAAAAAAAAAGATCAAAGACCCCCTTCCCATCTCACACTCTTTTTTTTCTAAATTCCCATTACCTTTTGCCATTCAAAGTCTCAAAGCACAAAGCAAAGTAGTGCACCCGTCTCAAGAAATAATTCATGATGCCTGCTCATGCTCATGGGGTCACCTTCTCTCTCCTCCTACTGCTGCTCTTTTTGTCTACTGCTCTCTCCCCCACTGAAGCAGCAAGCTTAACCCCTGTGAGTATTACTCTTCAAAGGCCCCAACTTTCCTTTCAATTTCATAGATTCCTTTACATTTTCTTGTCAAATGGGTCATGATTTTTTCTGGGTTTTCTGTGAATTGAAGTGCATATTTGTTGTTTTGAACTTTTAAGGCCAATGGGTCTGCAGCTGTGGAGCCACTTGTGCCACTGATTGGAGCTGAAAAGATGAAGACTTTGGTGATGAATGAGACCAGAAGGAAGTTGGGGAGCTTTCGGATTTGTGCATTGTGTACTTGTTGTGGAGGTGCCAAAGGTCTTTGCTTGCCTTCTCCTTGTTGCTATGCCATCAATTGCAACATTCCAAACAGGCCTTTTGGTTTCTGTTCTTTCACACCCAAGACCTGTAATTGCTTTGGATGCCATATCTAACTCTTCCTCTCTATATTTTATAATTAAATTGTTGAATTAGGGGTAATGTTTGATTTTGTTGGGAGTCTGGATGGCAAAAAAGAATATCTGTTCTTGATTTGTTTGTTTATAAGTTATGAAATTTAGTATATTTCCAGGTTAGCTTATTTCTATATCTAGTGTGATAATTTTCCAATTTTTTTTTTCCTGCTATAAGCAGTGCCTGGAGATAGGATTAGCATAATTGTGAGGATTTTAGGGAACATTGTCCTTGTTAATGGAGCTATTTGGGGTTCTTAATGATATTTTATTTACTTTTCCAAAAGTGGTCAGGAGCTGCTCTATGACAAGGATTAAGATTCAACTTCTATGATCTATTATTTTAGTCTTGTGCTGATGTTTTATTAATTTGTTATGAGTTTCAGTTCTTGTTTTGCAATGAAACTGGTTGCTACTAATGTTTTCTTTTTCTGCTTTTACTTAATGCTTACTGGTTTTCCACTTGATGTTTAGAGAAAGTGAATGGTTTGATCTGCTATATATTGTTGCTTTTGTCTGCAATTTCAAGCATTTCATTGGGTATAGAGATACCTGAGAGAGAGAGAGAGAGAGAGAGAGAGTTCTCCTTGCTTAGCTATGGCTTTCAGTTACCTCAAACAGATAGGAGATTGCATATTGCAGGATGCAGGTGGTGGAGATTGGAGAATTAAGTAGATTATATTTTAACTGAACAGTAGGTGGGATGTGTTAGTGTGATGGATATTAATGCATGTAGCTGGAAGCTGGGTTGGGTCGGGGTGGGGGGTGCAATTAAGCCATAGCCACCAAGTTTTGCTTCAATGATGTTGAGATGGTGGTGGTTTACAATTCTTGGATGGATATTATTTGCATCACTTTTATTGCTTGGAAATTTCTGGTTTTTTTATACCCTCTTGTAGATTGTTGAGTGAAATGCAAGCCTCAAATTCTCAGTCGACCAAAACTATATGTTTATGGTTTGTAGCTTACATCAACGGGGATGATAGATACTGCAAGTCGATATCTCAAGCCAAATAAGCGATTTCATGCAAGAATTTTAAAATATATGACAGTACATGGTCTGTTGAATCAAGAGTCCTATATAGGCACGGGCAGTGAGCAGTAAGTGGGGTGGGTTTGGGGACGAGGATTCTCTTTCTTTCTCTTTCCATCCTCTTCCTTTCACACTTTTTATTTTGTTTTTCTCATTCTATAAAAATTTAATATTAGATATTGACATAACTTAATCGTAATTGTTCAAATATGAAAGGAGAAAAAAAAGAGGGAAAAAAAGAAGGAAGATAATCCTTCTCTGTTCAGGGCCACATGATCTGACTTTGGTGTCTTGATAAGAGTGTTTTGGCGGAAAAAAGGGGAATTCGTTGACCTTTGTTTGTGAGTATTGCGATGACGTAGTTATATGGGGCGACATGCCAACAAGCCATGTGCTGCCCAAAGGACATATGACCATCAAATGCTGGGCGCTTCCGTCATGCATGCCCTTATTTTCTTCTCAACTTCCCCACCTTGCTGGTCGCTGGTCTAACCGAGGTCATGAGCGGTAGTCCAATTGGTTAGGGCAATATGCTCGCTTCATTGCACTTCAATTTGGGCTCGTCTTTCCTTTGGATGAAAATACAACATTACAATACATCGCTTTTAGAAACAAAATTTAAGTGAACGTGGTGAGACCTCGGAATTTTCTCTCGTATCCACCTCGTTGCATTCGGTAGACTCAGAACTAGTGAGTGGTACTAGTTGTAGTGTAACTCATGACCAAAGGAACTTTCAAATGAATCACATGCCATCTCTAGGGAATCGACTGTCCAACTCGCGAGCCATGTCGATCGCGCACATGTTGTTCCGGAGTGTAAGCTGAGCTTTACAAGAACGTTGAAAGCTCAATCGGACGGCAGCAGTATTATCAGCCGGCAAGATCATCAGCATCAAGAGGAGTTGTCAGCAATGAACAGGTGGCCGGCTGACGAAGCATCCCAACACAAAAAGAAATTGAATTTACAGATTTACAGCAGCAGCAGCCTCTCTAAGTATAAAACTGGAGTTGATTTCTGTGTTCACATATACATTTCAACCGTGTAAAAAGAAAAAAAGGTAATACAACCTTGCTTTTGGCCTGCCTCTCAGGTCTTATGCAGTAGTAATGTTAAGTATGAAGATCTCCAAATTTTACACCAACTTATGAGCTCTGAGTTTCCTCCAAATAAAGGACGATGGATGACGATATTCATATACATAGGAGCGCTCAAGCACTAATTAATTAGCGGCTACTTGTAGGGATCAATCCAACATTTATCGTTCCTGACAGCTCGTTCCCATTTCCTTCTGAACACTTTCATTTGATTGAACGATTCCCGCCTCACCTGCAACATTACAACAAGAACAAAAGAAAACAGATTAATCAATCTAATGAAGACTATATATTAAAGACAATATTGTCGCGTCGGCAGTCAAGAGACTTACATCAATTCTGTGGTCGTTTCCTGTAGATTTTGATGATGATGATGATGATGATCCCTGCCAATGCAATTACCAAAACATTATAAAAATGTAAAGAATGCGATTGCAGCAATACAATATTATGAATTTTAACCTTCGTCACCTGATTATTTTGATCATCTGAGGATCCTCCCAATGTAGGGCGGCCGTGATGGATTATGTACTCGGCATCCACAACTCCAACTTTTTTAGTTCGATCTCCCTATTGCAACATTATATATACATTCAAAATCAAACACAGAAAGAATGCAGGTCTGTTTTTTTTTGCAAACAGTAGAAGATCGGGGCAAAGGAAATCGTTTCCTTGTTAGAAAAGAAAGCATGAGAACTTGCCTGCGCACAATAGCCAATCTGCGTATCTAGTCCCCATGCATGAATCAAGTTATTCTGCAATTAACATAATCAATCCAGTGCAATCTAAGCCGCCGTTGACTCTACTCTCATGTGAAGAGAAAACCAGCTATTTGAGTTGAGTTCCAGGGGCCCGGACAAAGGAAGTTAACACACGTACCTGGATCATATACCATACACAACGCCAGGCAGCTCTAGAGAAAACAGGAGCCATCACTTCTATCCACCTGCAGCAAATGCATTGCGCATTGTCATTTTAATTAGTGGATGGTGTACTTCTGCAACTACACTTATATTAATGGAATTATCTTAAACAATCGTATGGAAACCACAGTTTTTACCCGGTGCAAGGAGGAGCTCTACTGCTCTCATAACAACCTTTCCCATTGTTACTTGACTTGTAAGTCCTTCTGCAGATACAACATGAATTATATCAAGTTGTTTGAAATTATGGGTGCTGGAAATTAACCAGCATCAACTTACTAAAGCAATTTTAACATAGCAAAACGTAAAATAATGTTAACATTCAACAATATTTCCCAAGGGAGTTCATCATTTAACAGTATAAGAGACCTGTGTGCTACTGATCCTCTCAAACGCACAGTAATTTGATGATGCACCTCTGATTTGGAATAATCCAGTGCAGGTTGTGATATCTCAAGCCCTTCCTTTTGAACAATGGATATGTACCTAAAAGTAGTATTAAACAACAAGTTGACAAAATGGGATTAAGAACCAGTCGGTATAATGTATAAGTTTGTGAAAAGAGATGCAGCCAGCCCCACAATGTGTATACCGTTGGGGATGGAAATTGTCAACTCCGAGGTCCTCATCCCAGAGGAAAATGTAACTATATTCGGCAACTATGTCAGGATGCAAGAAACGCTTTGCAAACCACCTAGGCATCAACCAGAAAAACAAATTTCAATACTGCAGCTTTGACGAAATTGATATTAGGCATGCAAAGATAAAGAGTAAGACCATTTGGTTTGACTGACTGCAGATACATGAATAACTTGGTCGCTCCATTGAAATTCCTTCCACTCATCAACGATGCCATCATAATGGAAGAGCATCACAACGAAACCACTTGACAGGAACTGCAACATGGATTAGCGAGTGAAAAGCGGTTACTTATGCAGCTATGAACAATGCAAAAGAATTATCAGTACTTAGTATGGACTACTTTTGTGAGCATGGTTTAACAGGATATACCTTTTTGACCATTTTACTGACAAGATCCTTTTGCTGTATCCCGACAGCCATGGCAAATAAATTAGTTGAAGAATTTGCATCTTTCTTCTTCAACAAGTTAACTGAAGGTTTCTGGTCAAACAGTGTAAGAGTGGAAATTTAGAAAAACCTGCAGCACTGTCACTTGGAGGAATGCAATGTTACACAATCAGTTGAATAGTTCAGTAGCTTCCATTCATCATTCTGAAAACCTTACCTTTTTAGCATCCCATAACGGCCGCATTTCCAGATCAGAAGTCTTGGCAACAATGCCTCGAGGCAGTGGCTCACTTCCATAAGGCTTTTTCTGATTCTAAAACCAATAAAAATACTATAAAGTAATAAATCTCAACAACTCATCTGATAGGAAAGATGTATGAGACCTGTGTGGAACGATAAACAAACCATGCATTTGTACTTTAGATTCTGCAAATTGTTTGCGACTCTCCAAAACGATGATGAATTCTGTGCAACATGACCCAAAATAGTAGTACGGTAATGTCAATATAAACTTTATTTTCAGGTCAGTAAAAGTGATACTTTTGTATGCTAGATATCGGAGTTAACACAAAAATACAGATTGGAGTCGGGACCAAAAAAAGGGCATACACATACCTCTCTGTAATCTGTTGATATGTATGCACTCACTATGAGAAACAGTATACACAGCAGAGAAGCTGCCGGGAGAATGCTACAAAAACACAATTTCCCGCTTCTCAGATCTGCACATAAAGTTGCCTGCGAAGAGAATGGAATGAAGAAGTGCACAAAAACATGTCAAAATAACAAGGATGGCTGGATAAAGAAGTAAATATGTGTGCCATTTTCAGAAGAAAAAAAAAATTCAATACTTGTAACCGAGCGATCTGCATAGAAATTAAAACCATTGTCCTAATTACCTAATAATTGTTACTTTCTGCTAGGGTAATCGTGATTGAACTAAAATTTACAAGGGTTTGTAGGTCAAGCAGTTAAGAGTATGTACTCTTGAACTCGAGGACTCCCGTCGGAATCCCCTCCCCCAATATTCACAAGCAAGAGCCGAAAGAATAAAGATTCCGAATTGTCTCAAGAGCTCAAGAAGAAACACCTAACTTCCAGAAAATGTGTATAGGAATTCAAAGAAGGATGAATTCGACATAATCTCATGGCCAGAAAAATCACAAGAAAACAAGAAAGCAATACAAGTATCTGATTCTATGATCAAAATGTTCAGTATCAGTTAACAAATTACAATATTGGTCAAATACAAAATCACAAAGTGACCAAGAAAAGCAAAATAATATGAGTATTAAATGCGTGCTTACAGAGGAGGACTTCATCTTCCATGAAAACGGAGACAACCTAGAAACAGAAATCCTGCAACAACCTGATTTCTGTTCTTTCTTTTCGTCCTTGGCTCTTGTTTTCGTTGACGAAAAATGAATGCTCAGCTCTGTTTTCTGGTATTTACTTTTTACAGGGGACAGAGAATGCGTTGCGGAAAGCAGGATGATGGATGAATGAGTGATTGATCACAGGCACCCAGAAGAAACAAGCAGCAGAAGTATCAGCATCGGGATTAGGATTGGGTGATTTCCATTCACCAATCATGACAACGTCGAATTGTCAAACAAATTGAGGCATGAAGAAATGGAAGAGCCTTGACTATCGAGAGAGAGACAGAGATTGGGTGTTTGTTAAGATGCAACCGAATAACACGCGCAATATTTATTTAAATAAAATTAAATAAATAGTGGGGAAGCACTACTCTTACTATCTTTGTTCTTGTCTTGGTGTAACTATAACCAGAATTACTGTTGGCCTGATTTGGGGCTCGTTTTTGGAAAAGTAAGAAACCTTACTTTGATGAGAAAGACTTGTTCCTCAAGGATTGAGGAAAAGTTGCTACTTACAATACCTCGTGACCTCCCACTTAGTATTACGGTTTAATGATATTTTTCTTCACATGTAAGTGAGAGGTTTTAGGTTCAATTATCGCCAAAGACGAATCTGAACCGCATTATTATTAGCTCATTTGAGGCTAAGCCTCACCCCTCCCCTTTAATGTAGATAATATCGTTTGTTATACATAAAAATAAAAACCTCATAACCTATAACGTCATGTTTAGATTCGAAATTGTTCATATTATAAATCATTAATATAAAAATCAGTAAAAAAAATCAATTAAAATTAAGATTGTTTATCAAATTGTATAAAAAATGGATGAACGAATTTGATAAAAATATTATAAACCGTCTATCTATTTGCTATAATTGATTGACTAAAAGATCTTAATTTTAATTGATCTTTTACAGAGAATTTTATAATATAAACATTCAATCATTAGAACGAAGTTTTGTGAATAAGCTACAAAATATTTTTAGGATGAACTTATCTTAATCTTAAAATGCCAAGCTCTTCTCTATTTTGACCACTAGAAGGGCTTGTGATTACATTTGATACAAAAAAAATCAAAGGTATTATTGAATCGTAAATACACTTTCATGAACAAACACTTAAAACATTTACTAATACAAATTTTATATTCGAGCATAAGTGCATATGAGCCCTTCTCGTAGAAGTGCTCATGAAAAGTTTTGACATTTCACTAATAAATTAATCATATTATATGTATCATAAAATATACAATTACTTATGAATTGCAACCTTACCATAAAACATTTACTGTACACCAAACTTTTGACGTCATTCCATTCTAATATGGAAAAATGAGTAAGAGGTCACTATAAGCTCAGTACTAAATATTTGCATATGACGTTTTATTACAAGGATAAAAAATAATCATGTTTATTTACTCTAGTACATGTTTGATCCTCACCAATTTTTCTCATCCCTAACAATTAAGTATTCATCCCACTAACGCTATTGTTCTACTCAAAACAACAACAATAATAAATAGTTTATAAAGAAGTCAATCTGGTACACATTTTTCGTCTCCTACACATTTTCATTTATTTTTGGCGATTGAATAAAATGACATTATAAGCTCAAGCAGTTTGTTGTGGATTGTGAAATTTTAAATAGTTAGATTAGAGGTCTTCAACCTCAATACTCGATACTAAATAATGAGTTTCCTTTTAAAATGGCATCTTTTAATCCCTTTTGTTTTGTCAGAAACATATTTTTTTTCGTTAGAATTTCAAGTTAATGACTTGTAAGGGGAATAATATTTCCAATAGAAAAGAAAAAGAAAAATATTGCATATACTATTACTAGTAAAAGAAAAAGAAATGAAAGGTAAAAAGTAAAGAAAAGGAGAAAAGAATAACATTCCTTGACAAGCTCAATGAACATTGACCCGAAGTCTGAACAGAAATATCTCACAACTTGTTTTGTAAACAACCTACTCTTAATTATTTTTCATGTCATCGTCAAGTAATACACTTTATTTATACATAGGAATTAACTTGGCTGACGAGGACTCCTTAAGATGCTTTGTTATCGATTTATGAACTTTCGTGGTTACAATTGAAACTGTTCATGTTGCAAAGACGATATTTACAGTAAGATTTATTAAATGAATGATCTTGATTATAAACATGAAATCTTCTAATGGGTAACAGAGCATTTTGAAGATAAATTCGTTTGCAATCATAAAAAGCCAAGATTTATTCTTCTATACCATTTTTTGTGTACATTATAATTCCAGCCCAATTTTGATGGGCTTGGATAATCCAGTTTAGTTTAAGGAGCCCATTCTTGAATTTGGGCTTTTAATAAGGGCACAAAAATGATTGAAATAATTTATGATCAAAGGATAAGTTTTCCATTGAATTAATAGTCTTTACTTTGAGTTTAAATTTTTCCCTCTTAGATCCCAGTTGCTCATGTGATTTTTGTCAGAGGATAAATTTTCACCTTGCCACTTGAGCTTTTTATCGCTCTGAAAGTACCAAAACTGTCATAAAAAATCATTCTAATTTATCGTAAAACTTCAGGATTGAAGTCTAATTAAATCCTCTTTAGATTAGGGCGATATTGTTAACTAGATTACAAGTTTTGGCAACTATAAGACTAATTTTAATATTAGTCCCAGTAGTGACCCTGATATATAGAAAACCAAATTAAAGCATAAAAAAAAAAAAAAAAAAAAAAATCAAACAAAAAACAAATTAAGGAGAGAGGAGCAGCAAGGCAGCAACCTTTTCCCCTCGATCCATTGATTGCAAACATATGTATGTATATAGCTGTGAGAGACGGTTGTCAATGCACGAATTCTAGAACTGCATAGTAAGCGATCAACACCGGAAGGGACACCAACATGCCAAATATTACCCTGCAACACAATATATCAAAGTTAGAAGAATAAAAAAAATTCAATTTCAAATATTGTTGCCGAAAATTATATTTCGATGTTTCTCGTACGTTGATTATTTTTTTTTCGTATTTAAAGTGTACAAGAATTTGAGCTTATAGATGTATATAAAAAGAGGTTCGTACGCTGTACTGAGCACTTCTGCATGGAGTCCATATTCTTTGGCAAATATGAAGGAGGTAATGGATTGTGGTAATGCTGCCTGCAACATTGAATATAAATGATGATATGTCATCTAATTAAACATTTATCATTTGATCCGAAAAACAAAAACATTTATCATCTAACAAATAAAATTATCATGCAAAAAGGAGATTTTTTTTTTTTTGAATATCACAAATACAAGTTATGCGATTTGTTGAAGGGTGATAAGCGCGCATTTTATTTGAAAATTCATTTAAAATTTTAAATTAGTGAGCATGTATAAACGTTCAGTGCGGTACTGCTACTTAATTTGAATTTGTTTAATTTGTATATATGTAGTTTGTGCACAGAAAGTTAACACCATAAATGAAAGCATCAAATTAAGTTCTTCAAAATTAAATAAAAGGCTTCATTAAAAAAAGCTTGATTAATATACTATATACGTGCATGAGTATGTTTGTATTGTTGTCCAATCTGTTTTGGAGATGCATACTACGGAAAATGATAATCATACATTATTTTTCTTCTCTTATACATGTATGTTTAATTTTATTTGTTGTTTTTGTTTGATTCATTCAATTCGATAGCCAAAGTTAAAATTGAGTGTACAGAAAAAGAAAATATGTGATTAACATTTCCCAATATAATTTCTCAAAACGGAAGCTCATTTTTCTCAAAATTAGTTATGCAAATAAAAAGAATATTAGGTAGGATGTTAATTAGTGGAGAAGAAATTGGCCGCTTAATTTGCTGGGCAGCTCATCGGAACAACCTTTATGTTATTCCACGTACGATATAAGACATGCAACCACTACTATATTAAATATACAACACTAATTTTATAGGGCATGCATGCTTGATTCATTATTTAACTCTCTGAGATATATAAACTTGAAAGTAAACTACCTGAATGATAGCAACACGTAAAACATCACCATGCAAGCCCACAGCAATACAGCCAATCGCCATGGCTGCCGGTCCAGCAATAAACCTCAAAACCATCCCAATTATTGTTCGGCTCGTCCCACAGGCTACAAATTTTTCCTGCAGTGCCATGAAGATACCTGCACGTTGCACGCATGATATATAGAGTCAAAACGATACCGTATAGATATATTCATTAACATATATATATATATATATATATATTTGTGGTTAATTAGCGATTCCTCACCCATGCTAAACATAGCAGTTCCTGTACCAGCTTTTGACATGATTAAAACAGATCCTTCCATGATGCTTGGCAACTCAATATGCCACCTGCAGCACCCATAAATTAATTAATTAATTTACAGAGAAGTATATTAAAAAACGTAAAATATTTAGTTAATCAATACTCAAGTATAATTAATAAATAATTTCTTGCATATTATATAGATAGATGCATATATTTAATCAGTACCTGTTTGCTATAAAAGCCCAAGCAATACCAATAAAAACTGCATAGGAGTTGGGATTCATCCCAAGTTTCACCCACACAGCCTTCATCAAGTACCAAAAGGAAGGCCTAGTACTTATTGTTATCTCCTCCATGGCTTCTACATCTTTCCCTTGTGGATCAACTGATTGAACTCGAGTGTCGACACTAGTACTACTTGAAACTATGTCTATCGACCCCGTTCGTCGAAATTCCAAGACGAATAAAAGAATGGTGAGCCATATGATGGCCTGCACGACCGATGACTGAACAACAAGATCAACGGCTGACGAACCATACATGGCTCTAATCAAGGGCACACCAACCACTAGGGAATTGGTTAACGTGCATAAAGAGAAGCTTGTGATGGACCAGCTATAACTTCCTTTGCTGCTGCACTTGCCCCAGAGTACTAGCACCACCACGATTATGACCTTAGAGATGGCGTCGGCGCCAATGAAGCGGTAGTTCCATTTGTAAGGATCAACATGTGCAGTGAATTCGAACGTGAAGAGTGGGAGAGTAAAGAAACAAACGAAGCGGTTAATCGCGCCACACTGCTCGGGAGTGAAGACGCCCCACCACCTCACTGAGCCGTACCCTAAAATTAGGGCAAAGTAGAGCGGAACCATAGCCACCACCACCTTGTAAACATCTTCCCACCCTATCATCTTAGTGTGTTAAAAAAAATATATTTGGGCAAGCTAGCTAGCACAATATATAGCTTGGAGCACTACTGGTAATTAATAATGGAAGAATGATATGCAGTGCTACTGTGTACAATTAGCTTGACGATGTTCATGAACTTGATTGTACTCCTATATATATGCATGCAGGGAAAGCCAACTTTGTTCCTTTCTCTCTTTTTTATTCGTTTTACGAGAGGGATCGATATTATTGCAAAGATGATGTAACATGCAATGTAATTAAGCGCATGAGAAATAAATTATACACCATTTTAGAGTGCTGCCGTAAACGATCACTTATTATTGGGAAAAGAAAATGAGACACTTGAATTTGACCAAGATTCTTTTATATATATATATATATATATATATATATATATATATCTTCTTATTGAACTAATAAGTAAAGTCGATGATCCTGAACTCAAATCTTTCTATCTTAAGAAACTTAAGAAATTAGTTTTTTCTGATGAATTTGGCACTAGCCAACCTCAGCCAACTTCAAAAATCTCTCTTAGCGCAATCTTGGAAAGGTTTAATAAGACTAAGAAGGAAATCACAGTTAAAGACCTTCAACGTGAAGTTAATAAAATCAAAGACGAAATTAGGTTTCTAAAGTCCGAAAACCTAGAAATTCGTACACATTTCAGCAGAGTCCGAATGGAAATTGCCCTTGATATATATATATATATATATATATATATATATATATATTGTGGTCATGCTTTCTACAATTTTAAAACAAGTGAAAACACATTATAACTATACTAGATTCAGGCCGCATGTTATACATGTGAGTGTATAAGATTGAGGAGAGATGGACACATAGAAAAGATGGTACGATCTACACACTCATTTTTACCTTTTACATACCTCTCTCAATTTTCGTCAATTGGATCGAATTGAAAAAGATCAATTGATAAAAATTAACAAGGATGTGTGAAGGTAAAAAAATGTGTGTGAATAGCATTACTCTATAAAAAAATACGGTCGGAGGAAGAAAGTGACCCTAAATTGAAATCACTATTCTGCCCTTAGACTTATCTAAAGTAATAAGAACATAATATATAGTTATTTTACTCTCTGGTTCACAAAGAAAGTTTTTTAATGTATAGTATACACTATTAATTAATTAAAACAGCTTAAATATTTATGACACAATTATATGGATAACATAACAGTCTCTAAATTGAATGAATTTTTATAGAGATGATCTTTGTATGATAATAAAGAGAATGAGCGAGATTCTGATTATGACAATTTATACGATAAAATAATGTCACCTTAGAGGGGAATGATAACTTTGCTTCTTATTGAGAACGAAGGAAGCATTATCCTAATGAAATTTGGTAAAATTCTTGCAAATTTCAAACGCATCCATAATTACTAAAGCATTAATTAATAGTTATGTTATGTGGAATGCATCAAGAAAAATGGGTTATGGTGGGTGTATACGATTCTCTACATGCGGTGGATTCTTCATGCTTGTAGTGACATTAGTTTCGTGTGAGTGTGTCTGAAATTGTAAAGTTGCTATCACCAATGGGGTTTTTTATACATAGAATAAGGAACGAGGTCCAGCAATAATTCCACCCACCTTTGCAAATTGGGATTTTTAAAATTATGATATAGATTAATGTTCTTACTAATGTTACATCATGCTACCTAGCTTGTGGAATTCAGAAGCAGATTTGTGCACAAATTGTTTCAGCTAACGACAATATACTGCAATTTGCTCCTTGTCATGTCACATAAAGTCCAATAAATATAGGCCAACTATGATTATTATCTGGGAATTCGATCGAACTAGATGACTATTTTTGCGACAGTGATCACATTATGCCCTCGACCAGCGTATGGAATAAGTTCTGTGTATTTATCAAAGTAATAAACATTCCTCTGATTTTTTTTTTCATTAGCTTAGCATATTAATGAAATCCACTTGATTAGCAGGCTTGGCCTTAATTAAGTTGTTATATGTGCTCATGAAAAAAATTTAAGTTTTACCATAAAATTAATTGACAATATGAAGAGTAGGTACCCCAACTTACATATATTAATCTCATTTCTTCAATGTGGAATTCACTCTCAAGAACTCTCTTTTTACACTCAAGGTCGAATCCTTCTTCTTGTATTTAAATGTATATAATATAAATGACCCTGTTGTTTGTTGGAAGAAAAAACAGAAAAGAAAAAAGAAAGCCACTTGATTAAGTACTGCATTGATGCATGGTATAGTTATAGCCAGCTTTACATTTGATATGTGAGTGTATGAATTCAAACTCCCACGACTATACATATATATTCCCTGCTTCCTCTGTGTTTTGAATATGATGGGATGTAAATATGCTTTATTTGGGCAAGCATTGAATTCAAACATTGGAGCTAGTTGGCTGAGTTGTAGGGTTTCTTCCTTTTGCAACTAATTAAGTGGATGGTTTAGGATACTTGCTACTATCATGTCGACGGTCTTGTGCATATATATATATATATATATATATATTATTCTAATATCCTTTGTGGAAAGCTTCAGCTTGAATTACTCTGAACGTATATATACAGATATTATGAGTACTTTATGTCTCAATACCACAAAAATTCATAGGCAATTTTGGTCCGCAGAAATTAAGCAAATGGTTTAATTTCTTCCTTCTGTGATTTCTGTTGTTTTTCCATTGGTTTCTGTTCATTCATTTCTTTGATTTCACAACCGCAAATGCAGCATCCCCTTCCTTCTAAAAGAATTGCACAAGTTGTCTTTGTCAATTGTAAGGGCTTCCATAATAAACATTTACTTTTAAAAACCACCAACTAATTACCAAAGTCATAGCATGCTTACTTAGTGATTTGCTTTGTCATCTTATTTTCGTAGTTTTTGGTTCTCCCTGTTAATTATTTTTTTTGTAGCATTTCCATGTACGTACGTTGGACGGAATAAGGTCATCATTAATATAAAATTAAGAGTTGAGCAAATATTTTATGCTAAACTAACTATGGAAAGAGGGTTATTTTTTTGGTTACTTGGAACATGGTCACTTGACATTACTGTTTCACTTAAATCATAACATTTGGATTTGTTTTTTTTTTTTTAATTAATATAACACAAAAGTGGGATGTATCAATCCAGCCATCAAATGTTGGTATAGTACGAGGAATGACACACCACGTGACTTGTGCTCTAGGTACCCATATAATTTTCTCATGAAAAGGAGAATTTGAACATAAATATTGAGCACACTTCTCTAACTATTTTGACTATGAGCTCAAGTCTCTGCATTATAGGTATTCAAATTAAAAAGAGGGGCTAGCTTTAGTTGTTTGCAATCACATTTGAGGCACAGGATATCAATCGGTCGAAGTATATCGATTTGGAATGCTAAACAAGTGCGCACTTTTGACCTAAGCGTATGCAGTTGTTAACAAAACAGGGTGAGACTTAAGATGAGGTGATACTTCCATTACATTATGCTCACTCCTCACCGATAAAATATTGATATAAGATATGAACAGTCTGTCACCGCACACTAATGGAGCTTCATGTTTTTGTGATCAAGGCAGCGAGTGCATGCATTATCTTTATGTATGGTGACTGGTGGGTGGGTGGGTGACATTGGCTGCTGAAACCCAAAACCAAAGGGAAGGACAGTGAAAAACAATGACCGATAATCTTTTGACCTAAGTGTTGAAATATCCGTGAAGTCTTAATCTTACTTTAACTAATACCGAGATCTTTTATGATAAAATTTCATCTCTGTTAATTATTTATGTCGGTCCATTCTCATAATAGAACCAATTAGGTTATTATTGAAAGATTGTTTATGTATAAGTTTCAATTACATTTGAAGCCGTTTGGTTAACAATAGTAACTAAAAGCTTAAAAACTTCTTATTTAAGTGATTTTTTTACAAGTATAATCTTTAAATGATGACTGAAAATTAAAAATAAACAATTTAAATCGTGAGATTACATTGCGAAGCAAATGTAGACGAATAATTAGTGCTTGAGCATTGTGCTGCGCGTGCTTATTCCCCTTGTCTTCTTCTAGCTCCCTCTCTCCCTTCCCACTTTTTAAATTTTCGTTTAAATATTAAGGACAGAAGGAAGTGCATGCAATGCAAGAATGTAACACTAGTCCAAAAGGAACAAATGCCAAAAAATAATGTGCGGTTCCTAACATACGACAAGTCATCATGTGTGCCATCAGATATATGAAATGGCTTAATTGGGCACTACTAAATTTAAACCATTCGTAATATTCTACTCAAAGCTTCGTGTGCTTTATGATACGTAGCAGAATATATCATAGCATTTGCAACCATGCACAAGGAATTGATGCACTTTTTTTTTACACACATAGTAACATTGTGTGTGTCTGTTTATATTTAATTTAATATTCTTGTCTATGACTGACTAGGATTTGGTTGGTTGAAAAAATAAAAATAGGAGTGGTGGGTGCTGCAGTTGTAGCATTCAGAACAAACACCTGAGGCAGTCTTGATGATGATGCATGGAATTCGCATATTACAACTTTTTTTTTTCCTTAGAGAATTAGGCATCTAATCTCTTCACCCAGCAATGTTGTTATTATATATTCTGAATCTTGATACGTTGCCCTATTATATGCCCCGGGTATAAACCTCTAGAAGCTCTCATTTTATCACGAGATGTAGCAATTTTTATACTGTGAGTTATTTATCTAATATAGACGAGACGTATAAATACAAGTAGATTTTTGCTTCTATTTAAATAAACTACACAAAATGATATAAAAATATAATCTTCCTGAAATTGTTTGTGATAAAATTTGAGATTGGAAAGATTGGTTAGGTTTATCCTTATTGATGGTTGAGTTTTTACCTAATAATATTGGGTTAATCTGGGTGGGTTTATATGCCCAATTAATATGAACTCAGACTAAAAGTTTTTGACCCCAAATCTACAGTTCTGGGCTTCGGAAGGATCCAACTGCCAGTGCTTCCATGATTCTTTCTCCGATGAAGATGTAAGTTACACATCATAACAAGAACCGTTAGCTAGCTTATTTGATCTAATAAAATTTAACGGATCGTGTTCTGATGTGCATTGAAAAAAACTCAATTGTTTAATTTTCTCTTACCTTTTTATGGACTCACTCCTCAAATTAAGCCCATGTTTCAATGAAATGTGATGTGAAATAGAAGTCTACATTTAGGGTTTTGTCTCACGGCCCAATAAGTTGTCAATTTTGAATAGTCCTTTTTCACATACGTAGACATAAGTTTTCATTTATATTGTCCTAAAATAAAATAAAAATGTAACCATCGCATATAAAATGAAATGAATACCTAAACTATATTAAGTTACATATGAGTGCCATCTAATTTTTGGAATTTCTCATATCCAACGAGCACACTATCTTGATCAACTGACTTAATTCATTTTTACAAATATAAATATCACCCATTAACTCTTGAAATATCTGTTTTCATGGAATATGAAAGAAAAATGCTTTTTTTTTTTTTTGGGTCAAATATGAAAATAATGTTAAATATGATAAAGTCAAATCTGGACATCTTTTGTTATATATGAAAATAATGTGATAACGTCATGTCATCTCCAATCCCCGACCCCAAAAATGGACTTTAAATTAGATGTTGATATTATGGTCCCAATACCATTAATAAATCGGTCCCAATATAATCGACACACAACAATTTACAACGTTGATAATAAAAAAGTAACTTATATAAAATTATATGTATAAAAAAGTAACTTATAAAATACTTCTGGTATTGTTTACTTTTAATGAAAAATCGCATTTATACATTTTCTTAATACTATTCACTATACTTTTAAAAATGACTTTTCATTAAAAGGGAAGTTTTTTTTTAACTTTTCATTAATTTTCCTAAATTTTAATTGTTTTATTTAAACGGAATGTCACATGACTACTATTATATGTAAGTCCTCCAATAATAATAAGGAAAATTAATAAAAATGACTTGAAAATTTTGAGTTTTAACGATGAAGACAAAATAAAGACTAAAATAAATAGTATCAGAATTGACTTTTTAGTGTAAAAATGTAATTTTTCGTTAAATACACAACACTGGGAATTTTTTATTAAACTTCCATGATAATATGAATTAGCCTATAGCCTTACTCTCTGTAAATCCAAGCAAGGCAAAAGGAGAGAATGGAGGACTGAGAGTGAGAGGGAGTGAAATGTCCCAGCAAAATACACGTGCGGTGCTAATTCAGAAAAAGTCCACCACTTTAACCCCCACCCGCGCAGCCGCCACAACAGCTCCTCCACAATCTCGGCAATTACTCCCAGCAATTGCATTCAATTGGTTTCTCTTCTGGGCGTTTTGGCCCAAAAACTGATCTGGGTCACCTTCAAATTCATCAAATTTCCACTATTTGTAACCGAGTTGCTTCCAGAACTGGTCTTCGTCCTATAATCTGATCTGGGTCGTTTCCAAAATCGCAAATTTCCAACACCAACGGCCTCAATTGCTTCAAATTTTGATTTTTTGGCGCCGATAATTTAGTCTCGTTCTGCTACCCTGAAGCATGGTTTCTCTGTCGAATTCAGTGTTGTTTCCTCTGGCGACATCCAGCGGCTTCACATCCAATGGTTTTTCTCGGCCCTTTCGATTTGCAAGGACGATCAATTGGTATAGTAGTGACAAGCAAAAGGAAGAGCCCAGAAACGTTTTGTGTGCTTGTATGGCGCCTTCCCCGAACCTGCGGAGCGAAGAATCCTTTGCTACAAAATTTGAGGTAGTCTTAGACAACCTTTTCAGAACCCATGTTTTTGTTTGGTAAAGTAACCATTTTGTATGCTTATTTGGCTTCTATTGACCTCTACATTATATTGTTATTTGTTATTTCCTTTGTATTGTTTTCGATAAGCTGCAGTTTGGAGAACTTGTGTCGTGTTTTGATCACCGTGTTGGATTTCCAATGGACACTTGAAATGCGTGGTTAGATGTTTTAGTAGCTAGAATTAATCCAGATCATAAAATGGTAGCTGTGGCTGACATGGTTTTTCTGTTCAGGATTCATTTAAATCAGAGGATTTAAGTAGAGTTCGGGAGCCTGAGGGTGATTCTGATGTTCTGATCGAGTGTAGAGACGTTTACAAATCGTTTGGCGAGAAGCATATATTGAGAGGTGTGAGCTTCAAGGTGAATCTAGTTCATTTGATATCTAGTTGTTTTAAAAAAAATTGTGCATTGATTGTCTGTGGAGGTATCAGTTTGAACTTTGCCGTTGTCCTGTGACCATGATAATTCTTGGTCAAGAGTATCAAAAGTTAAATTCTTTAGCTTGAATTTTTGTTTCGTAAACCATTTGAAAACAAACGATTCACTTCAGTTGAAGAATTCAGTGCTTTCTTTACCCTGTGACTGCATACTTTGTGAAAAGAAGAGTAGTCAATTCTCTGTTTGGCATCTGAATGGGATTTAGCTTGTGGGTTATGTAGTAGATTGTTATGCTTACAAAAGGTAGTTTGGGTTTTTTTCTCAATTAGATAGGCTGGGAAAGCATTGCGATGGGATTTCTAGAATGAAAGAAACAAGAATGCTACTCTTTTTGTAAGGATGGGAATGGTGTTGTTTAGGACTGTTTTCTTCTTACCTATCCCGTGTATTGCTTCCTATAATATTGTTCTTTAACATTGAATGTGCTACTGGTCTTCCCTTTCATTGCTTTGGCTTTCCTATATTTTCAATATAATTTCTGTTTCTAATAAAAATATTATTGGTCATTCGTGGATTCATTTATAGATTAGGCATGGCGAAGCTGTTGGAATAATTGGGCCTTCTGGCACCGGAAAATCGACAGTTCTGAAGATAATGGCAGGGCTTCTTGCTCCTGACAAGGTTGATAGTTAAGCTGGTTTTCATATTATTCTACCCTTTGTTGCATTAACTTCTGTTTAGACTTTATTGAGCTTCATGAGTTAGTTGTTGTTCTCTTATAAAGATTCTGTCCATTGTGTAACGAGCAGGGAGAGGTGTACATTCGAGGTCGAAAGAGAGTTGGTTTGATCAGCGATGATGAGATATCTGGTCTTCGGATTGGATTGGTAAACTTCACTGTTATGATAGGGGTCATCTATTTCTTTCTGGTTCACTTGTATACAAAAAATGTCTTTTAATGCATTTATCTGCTACCTAACAGGTATTTCAGAGCGCTGCACTTTTTGATTCATTGACTGTTTGTGAAAATGTCGGTTTTCTTCTGTAAGTCAGCTTTAAATTCTTTTGAATTTTGGCACTCTTTTCCACTGTGAGGACTGATAGATTAGGTTTCAATAGAACTGTCAAAGTATAATTTATTGTTAATTTATTAGGTACGAAAATTCGAGCATGCCCGAGGATCAAATTGCAAAGCTTGTGACTGAAAGCTTGGCTGCAGTCGGGTTAAAGGTATGGTTAAAATGTCAATTATCACTTATCAGTCTGCAAAGTAGCTACCTTCCTCAACTTACCCCCTCCCCTCCCTCCCAACCCAAAAACAAACATGTAAGATTTTTCACCAAGTATTTCTGAGCATCTTCCCACCCTTGGCATCAACTGTCTTCTAATGATCTCGTTAGTATGGGATGTAATATTTTGATATCATTGCTCACCAACCAACCCCACCAGCACTAAATAGAATGGAGTTTGACTTTGGCTTTTAAGTTTGTTTAAATCAATCTTGGTTATTTGTATAGGGAGTTGAAGATCGGTTACCTTCGGAGCTGTCTGGTGGAATGAAGAAACGAGTTGCTCTGGCTCGATCCATAATTTATGATACCACAAAGGAAGCGATAGAGCCAGAGGTATTTTGAGAAGATGATAACTGTATTATGTTCTTTATTTAATTTGTTTCCTTGGATAATGTTTTGATAACTGTTGCCTTTCTCTTGAGTCGTGATTCCCATTGCATTCCTTCATAGTCCCAAGATCAATAGTATCATTCATCTGAGAATAAGATGCAATCGTGTACTGTGTTCTCATGAGTCCTGACAGTCTTCTATGCCCTTAAACAGGTGCTTTTATATGATGAGCCAACAGCTGGACTTGATCCTATTGCATCTACTGTGGTAGAAGACCTCATCCGCTCTGTTCATACAAAAGGTCAGGATGCAGTCGAGAAACCTGGGCAGATCGCATCTTATGTTGTTGTTACTCACCAACATAGTACCATCAGACGAGCTGTTGACAGGTTATGTGCCTCATCCAAATTGACATGTTATTATTGAACAGTTGCATTGATTGTGTGACATGTGTTTTAAACGAAGTGTATACAAATTCATTATGTAGGTTGTTGTTTCTCTACGAGGGCGAGATAGTCTGGCAAGGAATGACTCATGAATTCACCACCTCAACAAATCCAATCGTTCAACAGGTAATGACAATTTTGGTCTTGCAATGAATCATGATCCTGAGACCAAGTACTTACATTTTTTGCGGGGGTGTTTTCAGTTTGCATCCGGGAACTTGGACGGCCCGATTAAATATTAGAACTCGTCCTTGGTATGCATATTAGACAAGACATAGTCCTTGAGGAGAATGCTGGGAAATGGGTCAGACGGTGGTTCTGCCTCCTTTCTCGTACTTCATTGCAGTCAATTAGAGCTCATGCCAACAATTCTCAGTGGCTAACAAAAATCATATGCCCATGAATCTCTAGGCGTGCTTCTAAGTTAAGAAAGCCATATTCAGAATTAGACATGGCAAAAAGATGTCAAGGTTGGCCGGGATATTTGCTCGTTCTTATTTATAACTAATAACTTTCTTTGGGCATTCCTCATACGAGTTGAGGGGATGATAGGAGAGGTTCACAGCTGATTTCATCGTTGTAATTCTGATGAAAGATTAATACCGCGCACCTTTTTCGTATCTTCTTATCTTCTGAATGAAATCTTCAACTCTAAGGGAGCAATATGCCCGAATAGAAACATATATTTGAACAAATTCTTGCCTACAACGTCGTCATTACAACTTATGCAATACTATTATGAGCATTCTGGGTAGGAAGGAACAGCTAGTTCTATGTTAGCAAAGCAAAGCATGGAAGAACAAACTCATCCGTTACAAGAGAGTAATTAAAATTTACAGCTTCTCGTTGTCATCCGAATCCACGCGCACATTACGCTAAGCACTTGTCTTGAGAATGTAATTTCGTGCTCGAGGTGAGCAGAAGAGGGCCAACCCCGTGAAGTAGAAACTGAGGAAAGCACTTAGACAAAAAACCCATACAGAAATCCGCCCCTCGACCTCTTCCCCTTCAAACGCCTTCCCAGGCACCACGGGGAGGCTTGCCGGGTCACACCCTCCATCAGAGGACTCCAAACACAAATCTGGATTTCCAACAAATGCTCCTGGAAACCTCCAAAATCCTTGCTTCTTCGTAACCAATCCAGAGAAACAGTTATATGACAAATCCAAAAGAGTCAGGTGTTGAAGGCTGGAAATGTTTTCGGGAATATGACCTGACAAAGAATTGTGTGATATATCTAAGGCCCTTAAACTCCACATCTTCTCTAGATCTGGAACACGACCACGAAGAAAATTGCGTGACAAATTTAGGTATTGCAAACCGCGTAATCCAAATAGTCCCCCTGGAATCTCCCCATCTAGCACATTATTGGAGAAATCGATTCCCACCATCGAAGATAGTACATAATTGAAGCTTAATTCGCTGCTACCAGTGACGACAATCAAAACTTTTGTATCCGCATTGTGCGATGTACCAAATGGCTCTCTCTGCATTTTAACAAGCTCGCCATTGTTAAAATTTATGCTCATGTTAAAGTTAGCGTCTGGTATGAAGCCCGAAAATTTGTTTCCTGAGAAATCCATCATTCTGATAACCGGAAAAGTAAAGAGCCAGCTGGGCAGATTTCCGTTAAATTCATTCTGAGCTAGGGACAGATACCTGAGGTTTGTCCATTTGGTGATTGCATCACTCAAGGTTCCGGAGAGATTGTTGGAGCTGAAATCTACAATCTCCAAAGATTTACAGCCTGCTAAAGTAAGCGGGATCTCACCAGATATCTTGTTGTTGCTAATATCCAGTATCTTCAAGCTATCCAATGCATCAAGTTCTGGATGAATCTCACCAGAAAGATTGTTGTTGTTGAGTATCAATGCAAGCAGCTGAAAACATCCGACCATGTTCAACGGAATTGAGCCTGATAGAGAGTTGTGCGAGAGATCAATCACTTGGAGATAAGTCAGATTTCCTATCCTCGCAGGAATCTCCCCCACAAGAAGATTGTATGACAGAAACAGGGCCTGCAAACTTTTCAGTTCGGTAATCTTCAATGGGATTTCACCAGAGAAACTGTTGTGAGACAGATCAAGAAGAACAAGCCCAGACTTGTCTGTTGTTTCCGCAATCTTGCTCGGAAGAGGGCCAGACAAGTCATTGTAACTCAAGTCCAAGACAAGAAGCTTCTCTGAAAACACAAGCCTCGGAGATATCTCATAAGTCAACTGATTGAATGACAGGTTCAGATGCTTCAAAGCTTGAAGCGAAGCAACACATGTAGGCATTCCTCCCACAACAGAATTGTTAGCCAGATTCAAAACTCTAAGAGACCGAACACAAGCAGAGAAGCAAGGCAAAGTACCGGAAAACTGATTTGATTCAAGATTGAGAAAGACCAAAGATTGGTGAAAGTCACTCAGAATACCAGATAAATTATTGTTCCCAACATCTAAATAATTCAAAGATTTCGAGTACAACAAGCTTTCAGGAATCTCCCCATGGAACGAATTAAACCCGATATCTAGCTTCTCCAACAGAGACGAGAAGTTACCTACCCACCAAGGAACAAGCCCTCCCAAATCGTTACCATTCAAAACAAGTTCTTTCAGCTGCCTAAGCCTCATGAGTGTATCAGGCAGAGTCCCCTGAAACCTATTGTGATCAAGATGAAGGGTTTTGAGACTGCGCAGAGAACCAAAACACAACGGGACTGGGGAAGTAAAGTTGTTTTCAGACAAAACCAAATGTTCGAGAAATGGAAGTTCGCACAAATTGGGGTGAATTTGGCCAGACAAGTTCATGCTGGTCAAGTTAACCGAAACCACTCTGCCGGTCTGGTTTTCGCAGGTGATTCCGGTCCAGTTGGTACAATTAGACCCAACCCAGTTGGACAAGCTCTGGCTGGGGTCTTGAACCAATGACCTGAACAGCAAGACAGAGTCTTTGTCTTGTGGGTAAAGATCAACACACTGAGAAAGGTTTGAGCATACAAGCACTAACAATACCAATAGCAGTGCGCGTAATTTCAGAGTACTACAGGGGCAAAAACCTGAAACCCATTTGTGTTCCATGGCTAAAAAACTAGAGGAGGGTTTTCAGAAGGGTTGAAGAACAGCAGCAGCAGCAGCAGCTGTAAATTAAGGCAGTAACAAGGGTGAGAAACTAAAGCCCATCTTCCCCAAGATGGATTAGAAGCAAAGTATTGGACAAGCTGAAGAAAAAGCTCAGTGGCAGTAGCTATAAATTAGACCTACCACAGGGGTAAAAGCAGGAAACAAAATATCTTGAAGAAGATGGATGAGAAGCAAAAATTTTGGACAATTAGAAAAACAAGAATGCAATAAGTGACTAGTGCAGAGGGGCGGAGAGAGAGAGAGACTTACAGATGAAAATTGAGCAAATGATAGTGTGGAAGAAGCAAAGAGGGATATGGAATGTGGAAAAAGGAAGCCATTAAAAGCTTCCTTCCCTTTGCTTCTTTATTTATTTATTTGCTTTCTTTGAAGTGGAGCTGGGTTCAGTTGTCTGGGCTGGTAATCGAATGTATACACCTGTAAACTAGATCCAATACTGCTTTGGGCTGAGTTACCAATTGAGCAAAAAATGAAAAAAATCCAATTCAATTTAAGGGAAATTTGAGTTAGGCCAATTTGTGAGCATATCATGTTGGAAAAAGCTATGAAAAACTGCTAAGGAATTTTAATGAAAAGTTTCTGGTACTGTTTATTTTAATGAAAAATCATATTTTTACACTAAAAAGTCAATTTTGGTACTATATCCTTTATTTTTGTCCTTATCGTTAAAACTCAAAGTTTTCAAGTCTCTTTCATTAGTTTTCCTTATATTTTATTGTAAACTATTAAATAATACATACATGATAATATTTCTACAAATGCTAAAAAAACAAGAAATAGAAGAACCTTAGAAGATCGAAGCTAGAATTTGATTCTCTAGCCTTAAGACAAGTTGTTTGTTTGCTATATTTGTTTTGAGAATAATATCTTGTCTTATCAGTTTGTTTGCTATATTTGTTTAGAGATTGATATGCGCCCATCACAAAATAAAGGTCGATCCTAATGTTTTTAATACAAGTGGTATTTACATTCTAAATTACTCTATGATGGGGAAAAATAGTTTAAACTTGGAAAGCAGTGAGTTGAAAGAATAATATTAAACCGGCAAAGGCAATTCCTTGTTTGCTTTCATATAATGAAATAATTTAGGATACAATTTTATTTTTGTCTAAAACGAAAATTCAATTGTCATTTAATACTACGGTATAATGATATTATTCTTCACTTGGATGGTGAATTTGATACCAAATTAAGCTGCCCATTGTGTAGCTTAGCCGAACTCTCTCTCTCTTTAGTGTAAAAATATCGATGTATTCAAACAAAAAAAAATTAATTTAATAGACATGAACGTAATCATGAGTATAAATACATTAATTAGAACATATATGCTCTCCTAATCGGAACCGGATCCCCTCTAGATCCATATATACTGAGCCTGCTGAGCAGGTGATCTGGACTGTTGAAATTTGATCCAACAATTACAATTATTTTAACTTTTAGAGGCCTCCTGTTTATAGCCGTTGAATCAAATTTTAACGGTCCAGATCGCCTACTCAGCAGACTCAGTTTTATTGGATTCGAAGGAGATCCGGTTCCCTCCTAATCAACTCAATCCTTCTATCTACAATTTATATTAATTTAAAATAGAGTGCCGTTGCTACAATAATTGAAATCCTCTGATGCCTCTTTATGCAAGAGGAAACATATATAAAATTGATCGTATAAATTAAAAAAATGAAAGGAGGTAAAGATTGAGACTTGAGTGAAAGTAATCAATTAACTGGTTTAATTTTATTTTGTCTTTTTTATTTGTCATAAGAAAAAGATCAAATCTTTGAGTAAATAGAAAAGGTAATAATCGAAAATTAAATCACCCTTTGGCTAATTAATCATCCACCGAAAGCTCAGAATTTGTGTCTGATTAAGTCATCAATTCTCATCCACCACATCTCCTCATAAATTACCAGAATATTTCGGTCTGAGAGTTTCGCGAGACACATTTGATGGGCCTTTACCTTCAGCTTCTTCCCCTCCTCCATCAATGGCCAAACCTCCTCATTTCCCTCCTTCCTTCTCTTTGCTGACCCTTCACAGATTACCCATTACCGGTTTCCACCTCTTCCTCTTCTTCCTCCACTCCCTCTCGTAACTCTCGTCCTTTCACCGGCTTTCCCCGGTACCCTTCTGTTCTTCCTGTTTGTTTCCCCAGAAAATTTCCTGTCTTCGGCTTTCTCAGGAACCTTTTATCCGATCTGGGTTTTCTTCGTTTTGCTGTTTTTCTTCTTTGAATATATAAATCAAACGCAAAGAAAATTGCTTTTTGTTGGGTTTTTGTCACTCGATTTCCCAGAAAATTTGAAGTGCGATCAAAGAAGCTTGATTTCCCGGAAAAACAAGAGAACTCAGTTTTTGAGTGTATTTGTTGAGGTAAATTTCGATTTTTAAATATTTTATGCTAATTGAGCAGAAATGGAGAGATCTCTGGAATTTTGAATATTTTTGTTTAATTTTCGAACAGAAATTTGGGATGGCATCGGTGTTTCTGTACCATGTTGTTGGTGATCTAACGGTGGGGAAGCCGGAGATGGTGGAGCTGTGCGAGACGGAGACGATGGAGGCGGCCATAA